CACTGACAATAAAACATTATTTTAATTCAGCGTCACAGCGTTGCAGTGTTAGACAAAGTGACATTTTCCTTCCTGAACAGAACAGAGGCCATGCATTTTCTTATTTTCACCTTACATTTACCTTATGCAGGTAAATCTGCTAATATTAGCTACATGTTAAAATTAATGTTTTAATCTTAATCAGCAACATGGACTAAATTTGGCCTGAAAAGATTTGAAAAAAAGGCCTAATATTGTTTTAAATCAACTATTTAAAGAAATGAACAGAGTAAATTAGCAAGTTATTGCATGTGACAAATTTACTTTAAAAGTTTGGACCTCTTTAACAGTGTTTTATTTTTATGAACTATTTGTTGTCCTTCATTGATCTTTTATATTTATTATTAATTTTTAATGTGTTAAACCCCAATGAGCTCGTTCTGTTTACAAACTGTAAACCTTTTATTGTTCATATATTCTGCAGCTCAATGTTCAGTTACCTGAAGGCGGCCTCCGTGCACGTGACAGCTCTCAGACTGGGGAGGTTGTCTTATTTCCGACAGTACTTGAACACATCAGTGAGTTTCAGGACTTCCTGCAGCAGGAGGGGGTCTGAAGGATACACCTTCAACCCAGACAGGAGACCACCTCAACATATAATACAAACACACGGCCCAGGCTGAAGAACATCTTTATTTATGTTTAAATTAGTTTAAAAGATTAAAATAACTTTTGTTGTGAGTGTTGTATAAATAAACTGACCTGAATTACATTGTTAGCTTACAAATAGATTTAAAATGCAGTTATTGGTGCATCGTTAGGATCATATTTTCATTTTGTTTATATTCTCAGTGTAAAATCAGTTTGTTTTTATTCTTTAATCAACTCATATTTATAAAAGCTCACAAAATGTTTGAAGCTCAATAAATTATAACTGAGATTTGAGCTCATCAATAAGTTCATCACTTCTGAGTCGTTCCTTTTTGTGTTTGTTTTAAAACACAAAGTGCTTGTATTTTATCATGTAAATGTAACACATTCCTACTATTCCCACATGGTTCTGATTTTTCCTAAGATAACAGATTTCACAGAACAGTTATTTATTTATGAGTTCTGTTTAAATGTTTGATTTAATCCTCAGGATTGAAAAGTTTCAGTCCGTTTGTGACGAGT